AACCAGAGAGACAGAAAACTTACCTACAGAGCAAAAAGATAGAATTATACCTGACTTCTTCAAAATCACACAGGCAAGAGACAGCAGAGTGAAATATTTGAGGAGAATACAGAACAGTACTCAGTAGAAGTTGGGAGGGGCAGAGGGACATCTGGATAAAGTGAGGCCAGATCTTAGCATGTGTTGAAATATCACACTGAACCTCATCAATATGTATAATTAATACAAATTAATCAAAAATAAAACATTAAAACAATAAAATGCATAATGGCTGTTAAGTACCTTATAAAGGCAATAATTTGGGGGGGCTACCGGGCATTGAACTTGGGTCCTTGTGCTTGCAAGGCAGTCCACCAAAACGCTGAGCTAAATCCCCTGCCCTAGACAATAATATTAAAAATAATAATAGTAAAGTGTTAAGAGGAAAAAGGGCCCATTGACAGAAATTTTGTGAAATTATTCTTCAAAAGTGAAGGAAAAATAAAGAATATCTTAGGCAAACAAGAATAGAAGAAAGTTTGGGCAGTCTATCTGCTTTACAAGAAATGTTTAAGCAATTCTTTAAAGAAAGGGGAAGTGGTGAAGATTAGAAGCTCAGATCTATATAATAAGAACAACAAAAGAAACAGCCAGGTGTGGTGGAACCCACCTGTAATCCCAGCACTACAGATGCTCAGGCAGGAGGATCACAGCAAGTTCGAGGCCAGTCTGAACTACATAGTGAGACCCTGTCTTAAAAAAATGAAAAAAAAGTCAAGGTAAAATTAAAACTTTTATTTCTCTTGTTCTTGATATTGATTGATACAATAAATAACAATTTGCCCATAATAGTAATAGTAACAGTGAATTCCACTGTCTGCGCTTATACATTAAGATATAAGTTAAAAGAATGACAGCAATGCTGCAAGGACTAGGGAGAGGAGAATTAGAATTATTTTGTTATATAAGAACCATTACATAGAAACGATGTCTTTGCAAACAGGGAAGGGTGGAGGGGCTGAAGGAAGGGAGGGTTGGAGAATGGGGGAAAATAAGAGCCAGATAATTCCTGTGTAGGTAGAAGATCCCAATGATGAATGTAACTGTACTGTATACTTAAAATTTACCAATAGATTTAATAAAGATAAAAAAGAACCATTACCTCTGAGACAGTATAGTATTATGAAAATTAGACTTGGTTTAATTGTTCGTCTTTATTGTACTCTCCAGGGTAATTATTTTTTTATTATTTGTCCCTTTTAAATCTTGTTTTTTCTTTTAAAATATATTTTATTTTAATTGGCATATAGTAATTGTACATTTTTATGGAGTACAATGCAACTTGTCATTATTTGCGTACAGTGTGAAATGATCAGGTTGGTGTAAATGCATATCTATCACCTCAGACATTTAGCATCTCTACAACAGAAGCATTCAAATTCTTTTCTAGCTACTGTGAAATACTCAGTTAATTCATGTTCAATCATAGTTATCTCCCCATGCTGTAGAACGTTAGGAGTTATTGCTCCTACCCAACTGCACCCCAGTACCTCTGCACCCCCTCCATCCTTTCCTCCTCCATACTATTCCCCACCTTTTCCACTATTCTATTTCAATTTCTTTGAAGTCACCTTCTCTGCTTGACTCAATTCACTTACATTCACTTTGCTGCAAATTACAGAATTTCATTTTTTAATGGCTGAATAATATCTCACTGTGTATATATACCATATTTTCTTTATTCATTTATATATCAGTGGACAACTTAGGTTGATCCTACATTGTGGCCATTGGGAATAATGTTTTAATAAATATCTGACTATAAATGCCTCTTTGATGTATTGATTTCTTCAGCAAAAACTAAAATTAGAGGGGCCGGGGATTTAGCTGAGTGGTGCTGCCACCTGCCTCATAAGTGCAAGGTCCTGAGTTCAACCCCCAGTACCAAAAAAAAAAAAAAAACTAAAAATAGAAACTCCATTTGACCTGGCTATACCTCTCCTGGGTATAAACCCATAAGAATTCAAACTTATCATACTAAGGGAAGAGAGGGTGAAGGGAGGGGAGAGGCAAGGAGAAATAAATGAGAACCAGGACATGTCGTGTAAAGGTACAAGATCCCAATGATGAATGTAACTGTACTACATACCTAAAATGTACCAATAAATTCAATGAGAAAAAAAACAAAATTATCATACTATAGTGATGCATGCATATCCGTGTTTATAGCAGCAGAACTCATAATAGTTAAGCTCTGTAGACAGGCTAGATGTCCCCAAATAGACAAACGGATAAAGAAAATATGATGTATGCATACAATGGAATATCATTCAGCCACACAGAAGAATGAAACCATGTTGTTTGCAGGAAAATAGGTGGAACCTGAGATCCTAACATAAAGTGAATTGGGTTAAACACAGAAAGTTAAAAAATAGCTCATGATTTCTCTTGCATGAGAAACCTAAAGCATAAATAAATAAAAGAGTTAGACAAAGGAGACATGTTGGCAGACTGGAAAGGCAGATTTGTGGGAGATGGGGAAAAGTATTGAGGGGACAAGAAAGGTTGGGGAGGTGAGCAAAGAGATTGAAAATGGCCCAGACATGTAATATACATGGACTAAGCTCCCAAAATGTGTGTAATTATGTTTGTCAAATGTATTTGTAAAAGATGTGGTTTTAATTCTAAAAAAAAGAAACACCCTCACAAATTACTGTTGAGACCAAAACCTGTGTTTATAATTAACTTTATATAAAATGAAATTTTTGACATTGGAAACTACAATAGTAATCAACCTAGATAAGAAATATCCAGATGTATTTTATGTAACTGTTTTTAAAAACAAAAATTATATAAGCGGAGAGACCAACACACAAGAAACTGTAGTTAATGATTATTTATTATTGAAGTCAGCCTATGATGGGACCTAAAACATAATACAGAACTGCAAATGAAAGTAAAGTAAATATAAAGCAATTATTTGAAAGAACTTACTTAAAACTCAACCATATTCACAGTTGAACTTTACCATGCAGATAATTTACTCTTTTAATTTTAGAATTGAGAAAAACTTAAGAAAATATTCAGAACTAATTAATGCAGGTGTCCTTGGTACATGAATCCAGAGATTGTATAATTAAAAATCACTAGAAATATCCTAAACCTGATAGAAACGAGAAGTTATGCATTATTACTATTTTGAGCAAATTCCACCTAAAACCCATAGAGAGAGATAATTCATTTCAAATTGGATCTGTTCCATAACATCCACCTTCAGAAGCAAACTGTTCTTTCTATATCCAGAAACCATCCTCGAAATAAAAGATTTAGAGCAGGAATTTTAAAGATATGTAAAATGAGGTTCATCGTAAGGTTACAGGAAAATGGCCAAGCTATCATACAGAAGCGTCCCAACTTGTAATTGACAAACTGTCCTTGTAAATTATTAAACTATGGCTTATTTACTTCCACAGCATAACTACTAAATGAATAAATGATCTATGGAAGCTACGTTCCGAAAATCACATTAGAATAATTCAGAAAATGACATCAGAATAATTATTTTGCCGGGTAGTTGCCTTTTTCCCCTTACAGAAAAGTCAATTAATTATTACAAGAAAGAAAAATACAAACCACCCCCAAAACATCATTTGCTTTCATTTTTGAATACGTAGCTAAAGAAGAGGGAAGTGTAACTTTTAATGTGTTATCACCACAGAATATGATAAGATTTTATTGAGTATTTTTAAATGAAATCATTAGCCAGATCAGTCAATAATGCAATTAATTCTATTAGTTTTTACACAATCAGTTCAAATTTTGCTTCTCATGGTAATCAGCATGCCTCTGTATTCGAGTTCCATTATACCAGATTTATGAGGTAGTATTGGCCTAGTGTTTTAAGCAGTAAGTGACATTGTTATAACCCTCAAAGTAATGTAACATAAACTCGTGTTTGTTGACTTATTTGGCACTACCCTGTGTGACTAAAAGCCAAGCATTTAATGGCAACAAACAAGGAGGAATGTCAGGCAAGGACATAAAGTTATAAAGCATTCCATGCTAAATCACAGAGAACATCCTGCAATTGTCTCGTTAGTTTTGCGGATGGGAGGGGACTGATGCTAAAATTCTTATACTGAATAACATACCATGGAGGATTTTTATCTATGGCTGGGAGTAATGGGAAGAAGCAGTGAATTCACCTCATTTTTTTTTCTATAATTAAGAAAAACAATGATCTCTTTTCAATTATTTTTCCCTGATTTCAAAGCCTTCAGTTTTAACTGATGTGTGCTGGATATTTCCCCAGCAGTTGACAGACAGTGCTTATCTTTGCTTTCCTAATCTAACTTGAAATACCTAACAGACACACACACACACAATGTGTGCACACACCTGTGTGTAGACACATGCACACACATCCACCTCTACACAGTTACCTCATAAAACTCAGCGACCTAAAAATATGGCAAACCAGGCTATTTAGGAATGGAACCAATTTAACATGAAGGCTATGTTTTTTATTTTCTTTCACTTTTCCCTTTAAAAACGTCATGACAAAAAGAATCTTTGGGTTAGTGGATTTCTTTTGAGATGCAGACACTGCAAAAACATGTTCTCCTACAGCTTGGCCTGTGGTTTTTTCACATTTGCATTGCAAATTTTAACTGATTAAATTCTGCCTCCAAATTCTAAAAGTGTCAATAGGTTTCTTGGGAACATTGATGAACAAAGGAATTTCCAGTAGCCAAAACAGCCTAGCCAAAGATTGCCTCCTAGGACCACCCCATGGCTTCTGCCTCACACTAGCCCTATGGAATATATAAAAAGGGAGATATAAATGTTATCATAAAGTTAGAGGAAAACAGCCAAATATAAATATGATCATTTAAAAGCACCATTGAGCTGGGCATGGTGATGCACGCCTGTAATCCCAACACTTGGGAGGCTGAGGCAAGAGGATCACTGTGAGTTCGAGACCACCCTGGGCTACATAATGAGTTCCAGGTCAGTCTCAACTACATAGTGAGACCCTGTCTCAAAAAAAAAAAAAAGCATCATTGAGCTGGGTGTGGTGGCACACACTTGTAATCCCAGCACTCAACAGGCTAAGGCAGGAAGATCGCCATGAGTTCAAGGCCTGCCCGAAATACATAGTGAAGCCCTGTCTCAAAGATATAAGTAAATAAATAGTATCCAACACTACCTAATTTAGAACCAGGGTTTTATTGCAAACAATCATTTACATGCTTTGGACAGAAATTTTTGAATAGAAAATAGGAAACGGTGTTCCATATGCAGAGAATAGCTCATAAAATTCTTTTCAGCATTCAAATAGATCATCATTTTATTTAAATGCATGGTATTAACTAGGACAATTCAATGGCCAGTAATAAAAAATAAACTTGAGTTCTCATAAGGATAGAAAGTTTATAAGGACATAGGTTGGCACGTTTTGTGCAATCCAAGATCGAGAGCCTATAGCTGAGTCCCACGAAGCAGTGCCGTCACCTTGGATTATCCAACTCCACGCCCTAATTCTTTCATTGACTCTGCTTTATTCTTTTCTCTTTCTCCAAAGACATTTTTTCTGAAGCTCAGCCACATAGCAGCTTAGAGCTAACCGCATACCTCTCAAGAATACAAGTCACAAGCACATTCACAAACAGACCTGCTCTTCTTGGTTTCAATTTCAAGTTCTCAGGCAAAAAGTAATTATCTGGCATGGATCATGTTTTCATCTCATCATTTCAGAGGGCAGGACATAAAGTATCAATTCATTAATTTCTAGATATATTTGTTGACCTTATTTACAGTAAGCATTAGCCTAAATATTCAGCTACAGAAGACAATAACTGTCCCAGCTCTTAAGAAACTTATATTACAAAAAATGGAGAGCTGGTCTACCACCCAGCCCCATGGGAGATTCCATCCCAAATGTCCAGCCCAGAAAAAGCTCTTCATTTCCATGAACCAGACCCTCCTTTCCCTGTATGTAGATACCTTGCAACCCAGCTTGAGGAACCTCCTTCCACACTCTCAAGGAATACCATTAAAGGGAAGGGAGAGCTCCAGCACCAAGAAATGAATTGAGCAGGTCAAAATATCACCACAAAGTCCCTGTTATTAGAATGACAGCCACGAAAGTAAGGCAGGACCTGTGTACTAAACCTAGACAGAAACACTGCTTGCTAGCACAAAATTAAAATAAACCTTTGAAAAAATCACATCTTTTTATTTTTAATTTTATTACTACATGTTTTCAGTACATAATGATTACAATCACTGTAGGGAATTGGAGCATGTATATAACACATCTCAATTATTTTTTCTCCCTTCCTCCACCCCCTTTTATTTTACCAGCATCAGATTCATTTGTCTCATAAGTCTTTATAAAGTTAATCATCATATACAAGTATGAACAACCAGACTAATAGGCCAAAAACATTTACAACACATAAAACAATTATACTAAATCAAGGTACACTTTTTGATATGAATCATAATTAAGAGCCAATAAAGTCACAATTTGTATGCGAAAAGGCAATCAAGGACACAAATCTTGAGATGATATAGAGAATGAACTTATCTGGAGAAGATTTTTAAGTAACCCTCATAGAAATAATTTAATAAGGATCTATAAATTATTCTAACATAAATTTTTAAAATACAAAATTCTAGCAAATAAATTGAAGCTATAAAAAAAGAACTCAATGGAAATTATAGGTCTAGAAAATACTATAACAAGAATTTTAAAATTCACTGGCTCTTCTCAGGAGCAGAGTCAGGGTGATGGAAGATATAAGCAATAAATTTAAGAAGAAATGAATAGAATTTACTCGGGCTGAGCAACACAGAGAAAATAAATTTTAAAAATAAGGAATCCCGAGGACCCACACAACTATCAAGGGATCCAGTATTCACATCACCAGAGACAGAAGGGGAGGAGAGTGCTAACAGGGGCTGAAAGGTGCACACAGAAATAATGGCTAAAAATCTTTGCAAATCTGGTGAAAGACGTGAACCTCGGATTCAGGAAGGTAAAGAAACCCCAAGTACAATAAACTCAAAGAAACCCACTGCAAGAAAAGCCTAAAAAACAGATGGTAAAAAAATCTTAAAACCAGCCCGGGTGAAGGCCATATCACTTACAGGAAAACGGTTCGAATGACAGCAACTTTTTCATCTGTAGCAACAGAGGGAAAATGCAAGTCACACAGCATTTTTCAAAGGCCAAAAAGAAAAGGGCTCTCAACTGCCACTTCTGTATCAGGTGAAACTGTCTTTTAAGAGAAAAGGAAATAATGGCCTTTTTAGATGAAGAGCTAAAATAATTTATCACTAATAACTCACCCTTACAGGTTGGATAAGGAAAGTTCTTCAAACATAAAGGAAATGATAAAAAGAATCTTTGAGCATCAGAAATTAGGGAAGAACAATAGAAACAGCAAACATATGGGTAAATACAATAGACTGCCCTCCTCATGAATTTTCCAAATAAAAATACTGAGTAGTAACTGAAACAAAAACTGTAGCACCTTAACTCAGAACAATGCTATTTAAAAGCTAGGAGGGTAAAGACACTTAAATGAAAATAGACTTCCAACTTCACTTGAAATGATGTCATATATGTATCTTGCAATATCGAGAGCACCCTCTAAGAAATCTATATGGATAAACACACCCAAAACACTACAGACATACTAAGGTGACATTTTAAGATATGTCCAAGTAAGCCATAGGAAAGCAAAGAAAGAGTAACAAATGGGAAGCAATGTATAGGAAGACCTTTCTCAAGAGGTAACATTTAAGATTATTCTTGAATGGTATGAAGGATCCAAGTATGCAAACATCCATGGGCTGTACATTCCAGGAAAGGGGACCAGAACGTTGGAGTCTGAAAGGCGTCCATCAGCTTGCTATGACAGCCAGTGTGGTTGCTAGTGCCACAACTGAAGGAGAGATGAGATCAAAGACGTTGGAAGAGAACAGATAATGCAAGACATTGTCAGACTTGAGTTTACTTCTGAGTAAGACTCTGGAGGTAACAAATGAAGGACAAATGTGGTTTGCGTGTTTCCAAAAAAACATTCACATTGCTTTATGGTTTGCAGGCAAACCATAAAGTGTGGCAAACAAAGTGTGGCAAAGAGGAAACCAGGCAGATCAGAGCTCTGGTCCTTAATCCTCTAGCTCTCAGAATGGCCAAAATGCACAGGAAATACAAGAGGACATGACTGGGGAAAGGAGTAAACGTAGTAGGTGGAAGTAAGAGGGAATTGCAAGGAGGATAGACAGAGAAGGGGGAAAAAAATTAAGGATGCTTGAAATGATGGTGGTAATATGAGGGAAAGAAAGAAAAGTGTGGAACAGAGAAATCTCCAAATTTTTCTAAATCATTAATTCACCTAAAATTTACTGAGGTAGACTAGATACTATTTACTAGCAACTGTATGCCGTAAGACAATACCTGGTTAGGATCCGAGAGTGCAAGAATTTTCTCAGGCAAGCTATACCCTAAACACTTGAACTCCTTTTGGATTTTTTTCCCTCACATAGAGTTGACTTCTGAAAAACTTTCTGGTTCCTGTTTGCTTTTGTTTTAAATAAAAATGACAGAACTAATGATGACAGGTTTTTAAATAGCAGTCAATCTAGAGCACCCACAGACACTCTCAAGACTTTGGAATGAAGTTCCCAAGGAAAGCTCTAGGTGTCCTGAGGAAATACGCTAAATCAAACAGAAAACACAACTCTGTCCTTATCAAAAACTCATAAAGAATTTACACCAGAAGTGTCATATGACTATCTGGTTAATGAACCTCGGAATCAACATAATGAAGCTGGAGCACATCCAAAGATACAAAATTAAAATGATAAAAGATACCAGTTTGAAGAGAGAATGAAGTAATTAGGATTGTTCCTTATGAAAAGATCACAATTAAGGAGCCATAAAGATGGATATCGTCAAAATTAAGACTAAGATAGCATGGGTTTCTTCAAAGTATTCCAAAGGATTAGACTAGGACATTCTCTTAAATTTAAAAAAAAAAAAAAAAAAAAAAAAAAAA